TGTTCCCGTACTGATGATTACTAGTTGCTACAAATATCAAACCCAGTAACCCAATGAAGTGGTTGACGCAGTTTAACAATAAATAACAATTTATACAATATATGAAATAACACTTGATATGCTCATGTATTTTAATATAGATATTGTTGAATGGGGACAATTTTGCTAAGATGGGTTGAATTTGTATTTTTTCTATTTCAAAACTAAACACAGACAATTGGTTGCCACTTTTCTAGTGAGCATCAAGCCTCATCTCCTGGGGAAAAATGAACATTGAATTTAATAGCCCTACTGACTACTGGCAATGTTCTTACCCATCTATGGCTCCATGCAAAGCAAATCCATAAACCTTTAGCTTGTCATGCTGATCGACGTGGATTGCAAAATTCGGGCCTTCATTGACATAGGATCGTCTCCTCAGTCTATGTCTTCCACTGACATAGAGCAATGAAACCCAACAAAGGAATATTCAGTAAATAAAATTGTTATATTTAATTAATTTGGTACAATAATAGTGGATCAAGAAAGTACTTGACACAACCACTGCTTGAATGAAACTTGCATACAAAAGAAATGTAAGGCGAGATTTCAACCTAAAGTGTCTCTTTTCTCACTGCTACCGTATTTCAAGACGTTCTGTTATCCTTACCCGCAAACTTATTAGGAACCTGTTCAGTGTCAAGTCGTCAGGACTTCTTCTCCTAAGATTCAATTTGCGTAGAATTCGGTGCAGCGTTCTCAGGCTGACAGTACAAGGAATAAAAACATATCCATCTCTATAAAACAATACACAAGTGTTATTTCCACGCATGGGCCGGAGGAAAGCGATACTAACCGTTCAAAGTCTAACTAGTACATGTACATATACACAAATACTACAGCTATAGGCCAACACTGAAGTCATCCATGTCAACATATACAAATAAAGTTGGCCAATACCTGATGGTTATTCGATGACGAAGGACCAAAATTGAAAGAACCTCATCGTAGCTGTAGCCTGCTTCAAAGTAATGACGGACCAATCGGTCTCGTTGTAGGATAGTGTCATTGTCGTCATTGTTGAAAGCATGTTGTGGTTGTAGCAACGTATACATTTCTACATTTCATTCCAATTAAACAATGACCAACACAAAGGCGGGGGTTCTCTCCGTCCAATAGCTCCGTCAAATGGGCTGTTTGGAGGTCAAAGTTAATACTTTTCTTCCACAAATGCGACGCCCGTCCAAAAATGCGACGCCCGTCGAAAAATGCGACGCCCGTCAAAAAATGCGACGCCGGTTGAAAAATGCGACGCCGGCTGAAAAATGCGACGCCGGTTGAAAAATGCGACGCCGGTTGAAAAATGCGACGCCTGTTGAAAAATGCGACGCCGGCTGAAAAATGAGACGCCCGTCGAAAAATGCGACGCCGGCTGAAAAATGCGACGCTGGATGGCACATATGGAACACCATAATCATCTGCTCTCTCTTGCGCGAACCAGGTAGGCACTACCCAACAATGATGACTCATCATGGGGCATGCCTCGACGTCGTCACTGTTACTGCGCCCACAATGTCACATGATTGGTTCACCAGGTCATTCACTGAATACGTCATCAGTATGGGCGTTTTGTGAAGTTATGCATGATGCATGAAAAATGTCGTATCAAAGACTACTAGTGCATGCATGATGTATTCATAATGATGTACTACTCTGGTATGAATGTGAGGCTGTTGAGCCATAAAGTTCAGGTTATATTATTAAATCTACAGACATGTTAAAAATGTCCTGAGGTGCATCGAATAAAGAGACCAAACAAGTAGGCCTACGAGGCTACGTGCTAGGAAAGATGTAGGCCAAATTATGCCTGGTCCATAATGATTCAACAGGTTTCTAAAGGGGGCAGATAGGTTTCTAAAAGGGGCAGATAACCAGCAAAAGTAATAGCACATATTATGCCGTTTAATGTCAGTGATCATTTCTAATTTATAGGACATCTCTATTTAGGCATTTTTTGTCACAAAAATACGCTTGTATGTTTAATTTGCAAGCAGAAATAAACACAGAGGGACTCCCACGCATCTAACGTATAAAAACCCTCCAGTTGGGAGCATAGAACAATGTTGGGGGTACAAAATGGCAACTCCATTAATGTTTAAACATTAACCCCAGCAATTAGCAGAGAAACACTAATTTAAAACTGCCAAAGCCGAAAATTGGTTCACGACGCCCGATACATACAAGACACGTCTACAAACTTTCCCCCATTCCATTAGCCAACCATTCCTAGAATACACTCCCGAAGTAATGATCAAAAACTACACCCTCATTACCTCATTCAATGTGGTACATGTAACGTGGTTCCATACTTGCAAACCACATGACAGTTTAGGTTGGAAAGTCCTTCTTTGTGTGCGGAAACCAGTTGACACCCGGTCTAATGGTAAAATTGGAAGGGAAACTCCTGCATGAGTAAACGTTTGACATCCGGACGGCCTTGCTGTTTTGGCTTTTTAAGTTCTTACATTAAAACGCACCGAAAAGTTGATAACTGAAAATATGAAGGTCATTTAGAAATCCCATTTAAGTGCAAACCAACTCCCCAAACGGCGATGCAAATGTTTTCCTTTCCAACAGAATTTCCTTGATCAAATGTAACCGTAAGGTTGAGCTTCCGTGACCAATGCTATATGATCTTAATTAATACCAGCCACACGCAGTTTCTAGAAGGTTGTGTGACAGAAACCCCAATGAATGAAAGAGTGAGTCTACACACTCAGGTGAAGAACCGGACAAGCTTGCATGTGAAAAGCCTCACTGAAAATCGATTGTGCTCCAACAAACAAGCCTTTTAACAATAATGGCATTTTTAACTGGCAGCGGTCCTCGCCGTCAGACATTCAAACTTGTCCCCAAAAAGACAGAGTGGACGCAGGATGAGGGAGACACAAATTAGTGCCAATTATCCTGGGTTTGTGTTGCAACAGCCTTGATTTGTGGGAGGAACTGTAAGTGTAAAGAACAGAACAACAGCTCAACCTTGTCCATTTTTTATGTGAAGGTGAACCAGCTTTCGACTACGAACTGCAGACAGGCTGGTGTCGAAGTTACTCTTGACAAGAAGGCTAAAAAAGTGAGCCGACTGTTCACTTTCTTATTTTAGGAGCATTCACTTGCGTGCGCTCTCCCTTTCAGAATTGGAGAGATCAATGGAATTATACCATAAGACAAAACGGAAAAGGGCAGCAATAATATTTTTTAGAATAATATTTTTTCTCAATTCCTCAATATAAAGAAGCTCTATATGTGACTTCTGAATCAGAAAAAGATTCGTATTCCTTGAAATATGACCTATATTTAGACACAAACTGCTCCCTACTTCATTTTTGCATAGTCACAATCAAAACGAAACCGTCAATAATTTCATGTTGCTACACACACAGCTTGAGTAAAAAAAATGCTCGTGTTGACACCGCCGACTTGTGGCTATGACTCGACTGTGATTTCTGACTGATTACTTTTTCGTCTGGGTCACACTTCGACATTACTGGTGTGTGAGTCAGATCTACTGATAATAGATGAAGTCGATCGAGTGTGATATGAGGTCTTTTTGTCGCGCAGAAACACAACACCTGTACTGACAACATCCACTCGTACTCCTCCTCGACCCCCCCTTGCGCTGTCCCTATAGATCAAACAGTATTCCAGTGCTCTCAGAACACTCAACGAATTTCTGCTCTAGAACGTTTCTGCCACTGTGCCAGAATTTCTATTACTGTGCTGACTTATCCTGTCAATCAAGCATTCTGACAACGCAGTATACATGTACAGTTCCGTGCGTTGAATAGGTTATGTAAGTTTGAGTTTGTTGTTCATTGGTACACTTGCCAACACAATTTCTTTGTCTACAGCATGTTATCAGTTTTACACAACAGGCTTGGTTTGCAAAATAGTCACAAATATATCCTTCACACTGAAAAATTGAGTTTAAGTTCCCACAAAATAACCTTACAAACCACTTAATAAGCTTTGATTTTGTGGAAATAATTAGAAGATGGGTTCAATTAATAACACTAAATTTTGGGGCTGGGCCGTTATGAAAAAGATAGTATGAGAAAGGAATGTTTCTTTAATGTTTCCGTATTGTTAAACTCAGTCCCGAGATTTCATGTAGGCTGTGATTTCCTCGGGGGGTTTCAGGGGGAATTTGCTAAATTGTTTGTTGATTAAATGAGGCCTAAGGGTGCACACAATAACAATCCCACGCATTTGGTTAAAAAAAAGAAAAAGCAAAACAGCTTGCGTCATTTAAGCCAGAAATAGCCATCAAGCAACGTGTACATCTGCGGTTCGATACACAGTTATATTATAAGGACCGAACATAGTCCATGTTTGATTTCAGGCAACGAACTTTGTACCCTGGATTGATGTGACAATAATTCGCAAGAAGTCCAGAAATGGAACCGTTAATGATTAGGAAATACCTGCGGCTTCATATTAATGAAATACGTGCATTTTGCAAATATTTTCGACATGACAACCAATGGTAACTATTATTATTAAGTTATGAAACAAAGAGCAGGTAAAGAAGCAATACGTGTAGGGCCTAAACGTGCCTGGAAATCCCAGTTTCATAGAATATAGCAATGCTTAACATTTTTGTCCCCGTTGATTCTTCTGTTCATAGCCATAAAATCTGCTGCAGCGATTCCAGTGCACAACCCAACTTTTGCATTTCACAACCTCAACCTGTAGGTCTAGGCCTACAGTCAATCTGCTCTTGGCAATTTTGTACGACTGCCGCAGACCCAGACTAATTACCGCATTTAATGCATAACAAGGCTAAAACAATGACGCTAAATCAATGACGCTTGCGGCAAAACTCCACTTTTAAATGTGGGTTCATATTGGGTTTTTGTTAACGTACAGATTTTCCAGTCAACCTACAGACTAAGATCAATCGGCAAAACAAAATCATGCTTTGCTTTAGCCGTGCTGCAGCTGCGGTACCTGGATAATCTTAACTGTCTCCAAATATCGGCTATTCAATGCAAGATCCATACCTGACGCCGACGTACTTCAGCGTTGAAGTATTATGTCACTGCTGAAGTCATTGATGTTCCTTCAGGGAATATTGTCTCCTCCTAAGCCCTGGTAAATATCCTTACCAGTGAGATTCATTTTCACACTTCTCGGAGAGGATGTTTTCCTGTGTACTCCCAATTACCACGATCCAGGAAGTAAAATGGCCATTCTTGTATTTACTCTTCCAACGACAAAAGGTAATGGAGAAACTGTCCAAGCGTTTAGCGATACTTCCTGCTATAAATGCACGGACAATGCACCGACCAGCCATCCGAATCACACCAACACCCAGGCATGCCAAGCAACGTATAAGTCAGCCAAAGTTTTAAAAAAAATTCTGTTTTCAATTCATAAGCCACGAAGCAGGGTTTCCTGGCTCTATGCATAAGCCTTCTATGCATAAACTAATACCAACTTACCTAAGGTCAAAAATGCCCTGTGGGAAGATGAAAACCACCACAAACCGAACTGGCATCAGAACCCTTAACAACCGTCGCTTTATGTTCGCTTGATACAAGTAGCTCCTTGTCCATGTACACAGAAATGAAATACATGGGCATGTATACCTAGTACCTGATTGTTCAATTTCATCACAAAAAGAAAAACCACAATACCCAGATGCAAATTAAGTATAGGCCTATAGAGAGATGAAATTGGACCACTTTTCATTATTTCTGTGTATATTCACTTGTATCCTACAAATGTCGGTACTGAATTGATTATCTTAACGATAATGACCCACCTATGGATGCACTTTCAAATGCGGTCCAGGTTCTTCGACCGACCACCAACCGCCTGCAGTCAATTATGAGCTTATATCAGCTTAGGAAGGCAATATTCATTTCAGTGGGCGCTGCCATATTGTACAACTTATACATGTCTCGTGATGTCTAATAATTGACGGGCCATACGTTGGGGAGAGAGACGAAGGTCAACCACCTAGCCACTATTCGACCGCGAACGTTCAAGCATGAATCGGTATGCCACTATGCGCACTGCCTACTGTGAAGTGATACATGTATATCCCTTTATCTTTTATTTAGCTCTCAGAGTAAGCAGGTCGCGCAGCCAAGTATACTCTATCTACGTTCTTTAAACAGGGCTAGGCAGGGGTTCCACTTCAAGTACAGCAGGGTTCAAGCACTGAATTACAAACTCCATGTTCACTTTCACTTCCAAAAATCTAACCGATTATTTTTTTATACATGTATAAAACTTTGACAAAAGTAGGCGTGAGCATATTGTAAGAAACACACTCTCTTTGTTTAGTAAAAATGCATTTACTCCAAAAAACACAGGCTGTACAAAAAGCAACCTTTGAACAACTAATTAAACGACCTTGGACATTTTCTTTAAAATTTTTGCACAGAAATCTTTATTTTTCCTTAAAATAAAAGTGTTGCATAGCCTACATACATCCTTTTGCCGGGAAAAGATTTTTGGAAGTGATCATGCTTCCCGCCAAGAGGACGTAAGCGCTTAATATGCCCTTCTTTCAGGCTCACGACGAGGTGTAATGCACGTCAATATAAGAAGTTTAGTGTTAGGTCCTACATTCCTGTCTCTTACCTGTTTGTATACCGCATTGAACACATCCACGGGATTATTAAGATCAACATCTTGGGGTCCAGTAAATTGCTCTTCATCGCTCACTTTGTTCTGATCAAAGACGTCCAACTGCACAATGAGATCTTCATCTTCCAGCTCGGCTTTCCTGTCATGAACAACAGCACAGTTTGACAGTGTCACCTGAAGTCCACATCTCCCGCGAGTAAAGAAAAAAAATACTATGTTCAATGTGGAATTTTCTAGACTTAAAGGGGCCTGTAGATGGTTGAGTGTTGCGTGGTTAGTGTTTGTAAGTCATAATCAGGAGGTGAGAGGTTCGAATCCAGCTGCTGCGAATCCAGCTGCTGACACAATGTGGTGTCGTTATATAGAAAGGCAAAGTCACGTGCCCCTGTCTCTCTGTTTTGCCAGAGAGGGTTTGGCATAACCGCGCATTTCGCTAAGACTAAAAAAGGAGTAGTTAGGCCTACTTGAGGTGGTCTCGCAGTCCTTCCAGGAAGAGAACAGAATATTTTTAGCTATTGCCAAGGAGAATAGAGACCTAATGGGCCACATTTACTTCGCACTGAGTTTTATGTTCACAACATGGCGACTGCGTCGGTGACGTTTCATGACCATTTGAACTTTTCTAATCCAAGTGAAACTTTTTAGAGTTCAACTTTAACTTATTTTCTTCAACAACTGCATCCTGTGCACGTTCTTCTGTCATAATACATCAGGTGTTCAGTTTGGGAGATGGTTTTACATAACATGCATCCATATTTTCAGCTGCAAAACTAATTAATGTCTACAGACAAAAATGCTACATAAGTGAGAACTCAGATTCTTTCAAAAGATTTACGAAAACAAAAATGCACAGAGCGGACGGGTATTTCGATCTACACCTAAGGGGAACGTTTTGTGCTAAAATGATGAACGGTCCAATACAACAAGAGTGACATGTCTCTCCGCCATATAGAGCAGAAGTCAAGGCTGTCTCACCATGGGGCATAAGCTCTCACCAATGTGTTGTTCTATAAATGACTTTGCCCCTTCTGACATTTAGGAACACACGAACCACACACAAAATACCCCCAGCCAGCTGCTACGGACAGTCCTTGGTCTGTGCTGAAATACAGACATTTTTATTGGAATAGTCGCTAACAAAGTCAACGGTTGGATGACAATTAAATTGACCTGTCATGTCTCATCATACCATTGAAATTGATTGTTTTATAAAACTCGCAAGATTCTATATTTCATGTTTAACATACCTGCTTATGTTTGAAACTAGGATGATATATCTGTCTTGACCGAGAGGGAAAGTTTTTTCACCACAACCCTTGTACATGCTCCCAAGATGTGTTGCAATTAATTTCATTTTACATTTGCTACTTTAAAAGGTATCATTGGTGCCTCTTTTGTTTTCTGCTGATGGGAATAGCCCCCAATATAACATTTATTTGTGCTGGAACGTTTGATACTGCTGTGAATCTCCATCTCTGTTTGTTAGAGTACATGGCAATAAGCAAACGAGCGATTTTTTCCCAGTGTTTCCAAGGAAAAATTTGGGTTCGGATATTTTAAAACAACAAAATAAATCAAACAGTGTCCTCCCTGAAAAATACTGGCCACAGCGGGAGATTTCCTGCAATCTACAATAAATAAAAGACAGTTGGCTATTTTCTGCCCTGAAGCTCCATTTTCTTCATAATAATTTATGGACCGGCCGATTCTGCATCAAAACAAAAATACCGTGTCCAACACTGATTTCTTCAGAAAAGGGCTATTTAAATCTGACTATCTCTGTATCGTGCATGCAGCGTGGTACGGTACCAAGCAACCTTATTCACTAAAACAAGAATTCCACTTCGGTCAACGGCCTGAATTTAACCCTCTCCCTCCGCTCAATAACACCCCTAGCCAACAGCCCGCGGACGAAGCCCCTCGCGACCTTCCTGAAATAGACGGATATTCATGTCCGATTCTTCAGCCCCTCAAGGTCCCATCTATCATTTTATTGTGATTCCAAGAATCCTACAGCACAAAAAGGACAGTGCTTCCATGTGTGGCACAAGAGACTTAAAACAAGGTTATGGTCACCAGCAGAAGTCAATGTAAAAACAATGGTTTGTTTGGGTTATCCCGTTAACGACTTTGACGTCCTCTGGGCTTTAAAACCTTCCCGCTTACAACCACCAGCAGTTGTCAAGTTCAATGAAGCATTGACGAGATAATTCCGGCCAAAAGTTCCTCTACCAGTTACTTTTTGCGGAGAATGTCCCCGGAGAAATGAGACAGATTTAGTGGAAATGGAGGCAAGGTGTCATTTTGAATGATTCAAAAAGATTTTTGGGCTAAGGCGGTTCGAAGAACATGCTTTTCCTCTGTCTGAAACTGAAACACTGCTCTCGAAATGTCAAGATACCATTTTTCTTCAAAGCCACGCATGTGTAGACCATACACAAGACTGGGCATCGTTACCGGGTGTAACTATAACACTTAAATCTGTAAAATAAACGTGGTCTGGTTCCCACATTTAAGCAAACGTTTCTGAAGAGTGAAGGCAGTCAATTTTATGACAAAATTTTGCAAATGGCACGAGTTCACTTTGAGGAACAATAGTTGAGTTTTTTGCATTTCTGTTTCATCCATGAGACGGAGCCTGATACCACACTGCTCGTTACATGTGGAGCTGTAGAAGAAGTGGCGTTTCCAGCTTTCACGATCTTTGTCATCCATTTATTTTTAATTTCGCTCTCACGCAAACAATTAGAATTTGAAGGTCAAGGGCACTGCAGCGTTGGGGTTTTCCAACGTCGAAATTTTAAGTGGTTGGCAAGTGGACCTCGATTGTATATCATTCCCTGTGGAGAGTATCGGAGAGTCTTGAATCATGGCGACTTCATAATCAGCAGCAGGTTAAGGCTAATTGCATCAACTGTTGAAAAATACTTCACAAACTGCACGTGGAAAGATTGAATTTGCAGCAGTGCAGGTGGAAACGGGCGGTCCTTGAAATTTTCCGACGTTCTAAACTTGTCAATAAGAGCCTGCAAGACAATTAGTCAAATTGGTTTCTATATCTGTTTAACGTCATTCCTGCTATCCATCGACCTCGGGGACAGAAATAACTGCAGCACAGTTCAAGGGTATAGCGAACATGGAGAACTTGATGAATTACCCACCTTCGGTATCCAGAAAGTGGGAAAAATGTGGATCTCGTCCACTTCACCTCAAAATCTTAACTCGGTGTTATTCTGACCCACTTCTATGTTTTTTTCTTTTTTTTAGGGGTGTTTGTTTCTGTTTGTTACAATGGATCAACAGGTGTCATGAACATGTTTTGTCAATCTTTGCAAAGAAATCCGTGGAAATCCAGTGTAAAATTGAACCACAGTGGGCTGGATGATTTGTTTTGAAGCTCTGTCCGTCGGACACAACTACTTTTCTGGTCAATGAAAAACGGCCTTGCACATTTCTATGAAGTGAAATCTTTTCGTCTCACATCAGACGTTTTACAAAGCATCGCGCTGTCATATTCAAGAGATGTGTAATGCTTCAGTGCAATTTTAAATCAAAAGCACAATTTCAAGAAATGTTATGCTCACGCATCCCTCAACTCGCTCAGCTACTCTGCCTCAGCAGTCGACAAGGCCGTCGAAATCCCATGTGCTCAAAGCACATTCCAGCATTTTCAGTACCCAGGGACCCTCGAGGTCAGTGGTATTTATTAATGTTCCTTCCTTTTGCGCACCTCGAAGAAAGAAATGTACTTCGTGAAACTCCTTGTGGGGAAAGCGGTATTTAGATCAACTTAAAGGGATCCCCTCCACTGTCAATCTCTCTACCTATTAGTATGGACGATTTGGTTACTTGAATGACAAGTCTACTGTCAACAAAACTCTTTCTTGCAAGAGGAGCAAACTGAATACAGAACTGCCCGTTAGTCTCATCAGACAGGACAGCTAAACGCGATCGATCCTGATGGGGAGTTGGTGGCATATTAATTTTCCTTTCAACAGTAAAGCTGATGTGACGGTATAGACTTGTGAGTTTTTACCATGCCTTGTTTACCAGCACAGTACGAGACCTGAAATAAATTTAACAGAATTAACGGCAATGATCTCAGATGCAGCTTCCCAAGAATTCAAGGTAATCTTCAATAGTATAAAAACGATGGTTTTTCTCTGACTTTTTCTTCTACTTCAAAACGATGACTTAATGTTTCCTACCTCCTTGGGAGTTGGGTCAACATAGGTGCGAGCACAGAGCAATAACTCATTAGCAGGTTTATTTTTTTTCCATCTTTTCTAAACGTTCCACTACTCTAAAGCGAAGCTGTTGCGAGGCACTGCCCATATATTTTTTCGACGATGCGTCTCCTCCTGAGAGGGCGAATGCAAGGCCTACCACAAAGGAAGGAAATTTTCTCTTCATCACGCACCCATTGTTGGCTAAAAACTTGGAGGACCTGTGCTTGAATATGGGGTTAGACACATATTCGCACGGACACATCCGCACGGGCCGTTTGTTTATCCAAGACGGTCCGTGGAAAGCTTCCAAAACAATGGCATCGATGGGCTCTGTTTTGTCACGTCCGGCACGCTCCGTAACGAAGAAAGTGACCCCCTCCGAGCTCCCCTGTGAGGTTTCGCTTTGCTACGCCCTTGCCGTAGGGACCACGGGGAGATAATGCGGAAAGTGGACGGCACCCAGCGGGGAAAGTCAACACGCCGGACAACCATCCAGTGGGAGTGGCCTAAGAGTGTTCAGTGGGTGGATGACTTGAAACAGTCTTTAAGACTCGAGAAATTTTACTTCATTTGTATGGATTCGCAAAGGCGTTTTGGGACTTTATCATCGTCTGCTCACTGTGTCATGGTAGTTATAGTCTTCGAATTCTATAAGGACGACCGCAGCAAGGCTATCCTAGTTTGCGAAGAATTAGCTTCCACTGCATAAGAATGCCAGCAATATAAAATTAACCAAGTCGTCAAATTTGAAGAAAGAAGAGGGAAACGCTTAGCGTCACTCTCCAGGCAAACAATTCTCAGGATAAATGTACCTAGATGAATTATTATACGCACAAGGCTGGCACGAACACTGATGCATCATAACAGACACATTGAGGCACAGCTCTGGTAGTAATGGAATAAATTCCACACGAGCAGGTGTTGAAATTAAATGCATTCCAGAAATTCTGTCCTTTTCCCACTTAACACTGGTTCCCACTACCATATGAACCCGTGAGCTGTGCACAGACATGACAGATACTGAGATTGAACTCCGTGAATAGAGTATAGAGCAAGCGTGTTGCAAAATGCCTTGTTAACTTGCCTCGTCTTAGTCATCACAATCATGGAACACAATATTATTTGAAAAAGGGGAATCATTCATGTGAAAAATATAATGTTTATCCATGGAGGGGTTTATCCCTGAACAATCCTTCAATAAGAGTAATTGGTCTTGCACGGGCTTACTATGGCTGTAAGGATAGCCAAAAGAGCTTGGAACTTCGTTTTATAATCTAGAAATTATAAGAACGTATTTACTCACCTAAGCGAGGTCAAAACATCCAGTAGTTTCAGACCTGAATCGGAAAAAGAGGGAGAAGATTCCAACATTATTGCCAAGAATAAGGAGGCCACACTCCTCCTGGAAATACGTCAGATGGCCTGATATCTCCTCATATTCTCCGAAAACAACTGTTGGCGTGTTTGGCATTCATGTTTCCCGGGTTAAAAATCCTGGAGATCGGAACTTCAAAGGGGACGAAATGTAGCGAAACCAGCTTGGTTTGAGTCCTAAAACCAACTGAAAACTTTCACAATGGACAGGCTGTTAGAATAGCGGGAGCTTTATCAACCACTTAAGAGCAAGGCTCAGATTGCGATAGCATGGTTTGTAACACGCAGCGTCGAAGCATTAATGTTTCCCATTCTGGCATGCTGCTTTGTTGCGTGCCCCATCCACCACACTGCTCACACTCCGGGAGTATATAGGATTCCCGCTTTCCCCCTTTGGCAAACAGGGGGGTCACAGAGGTTGGCCGGTCATTAGGGGCCGTTTGTTGGCCCTGTCACCGCCACGGTTCGCCATCCCTCTGATCCCCTACAAGTGGTTGGCGGTGCGTTGGAATGTCTCCTGTCTATCCGTTACCGTGGCAACCGTCCATAAATGTACACCCACAGCTGACTCGGGTCAAGCCCTGACCAGACACAAAGTCCTTCAAGAATGTGTTTGTTGTGGGCAGCGTCAACAAAACGAGAGGTGTTCTACGGCAGTTTCTTTAGATCCACAACAACAAAAATCCGGAATTTACTCAGATGTAAAGACCTACTCCAACTTATTAAAAATGAAGTAAATTTGAAATGAAATTGAACTGTCGTAGAATCCACGGCACAAAAACTCGGATGTTGTCACTTTTATCTCGGGAGAGATTTATCAAGTTGTCACGCCACATTACCAAGGAACTCTACAATAATAATTCATCTTTTATGGCATCAAAACAAAACACTTTAAACCACTTAAAATAACGCCACGTGTGCATCCTCGACTTCGACACTATACTTGTTTCAAAGCAATTGTCAAAAACATTACTGTGAATTGTTGTGAAGGGTGTCTTTTCAAGGTAAATTTTTCCGTCATGATATCTATAACTTTATCAATCATTCGTGAAGTCAAAAAAACGACAGAAACTTCAGAGTTTCCATGCCCTTTAGCTGTTCGTTTGAATCTCGTGATTTAAGCTTCAAGAGTGTTTTTGAACAACGTCACCGGTTAACACATTGCAAAACTACATTTATTTTTCAAGCAGTGCGGATTCATCTTGCAAGTTCTGGTCCCTCTGTGAGTACAGGGAAAAAGGCGCTGCTGCCTAAGGGCTTAATAATATGAAATACTTCCGGGTGACCTTCATGTGGTTGCATACTTTCCTCCATGATTTAATCAACTCAGAGTCTACAGAGGCAACTCAACTTATTAAAGTTTTGCCTTGTGGAGGGATTCTTGAGGCGGGAATACCATGGGACATTGTGTTTTATTGTTGCTGTTTTCAGTGCTAGGAACTCTGCCCGAATGAATTGGGCATATTTGATCAGGTGTGGTGGGACGGATTAACAAAATATGAAGGGGGGGGGTGATTGTTTGGCCGCGTCCGAATCACTTGGCTACGATCTGAAATTACGTATTAGTCTATGGGAACGCCGCGGCCACTACGTGACTGTGACGCGTCTCACGTTTCTATTAATCTCACGTGTGCACAGCGCCCCCTGTTAATTGCAATTAATGTGTGCGGTGCAGCATTGACTACTCGACTGGAATTCACTGGAACTTACTATCGTGGGTCTTGGGTCGCCCATATCCACTATGTAAACCCACGAACCCCATTTATTCAAAGTTCAAACGCCCTCAAGCACTCATGTCTCACAAAAATATAACGTTTCACCCCCTCTCCCGATCTCCCCCATCCATACACGTGTACATGTATGTACGGATATATTGCTGGAGTGATACAAAATGGAGTAGGCGTACTTGACAGGGGTGGGTTTCCAATCTCAAACTCGTGGGACTATGACTCAAGGGTTGGGGTTGAGGATCGAAACCAACCCCCCCCCCGCTCTGAGACAAAAAAGGTTACAAAAATGTGGAAAAATTTTTTAAAAGAATGAAACGAACTACAAAAAAAGTAAATTTAAAAACGAGATAGCTTCCCTCAGATTCTTATAGTGAACATTAATACCATTATAAACAATGTATGCCATCTAATATTTCACCATCCTTTCTGCTTGTCCTCAAAAGTGAATAACAAATCTCAGGCCTGACTCCTGCCCCCCGGAAACCTTCTTGGATCCGCCCCTGCCAACTCACCCATCCACCAACTCCGCCCACCTGAAATACAGTTGCCGTTTCCACTTTATATATTTCTAGTAGTGGTATCCAAATTCTATTTTTTACATAACCCAACCATATCGCTTTCAAGAGTGCTACTTTGCCAGCACCAACCGTGACAAATCGAAGTTTGGTAGGTCGAGACCTCTCGCATTCTGGGAGACTCCGTAGGGACCTCGTCTTTTACCCCAGTCCTGACCCGCGTACGTGACAATGTGCGCGTACTATCTCAGGCAGACACCTCTGCTCCCGGAAACTCCCGTTATCTTGACAGCGCGGTTTAAAAGAAATCATATCGGTGGACATATTTTCCGCAATAAAACCCTGAAATTTCGCCACGCAAAAGCACAGCGTTAATATTTCGCAGTGGATCAGACGTGCTTTTGCTCCTAAGTGATTTTCAAGCCTAATAATTACGTTCAGGTGTACGGGCAAGGGACGTGCGCGGAGCTCGTCTTTCAAAACTGCGGCGGGGATGGATCGGTAAAGCCAGCACATCCACTGGAGAACCTTGGAGATAAAAATCAATTTATAGCTTTAAAGGGGAGGAGTATGTCCCGCCCCTCCCATTTCTGTTTTATGTTCATGCATGGTCGACGCATTTTTCTGGGTGGTTCTCAACTTCAAATTGGCAAGATTGATAACAGGATACTTGTAGAAGTCTCATAGTGTAAACGCTAGAGTATTTCTTTTCACCGAGTTCAACTTCTATAGAGTTTTAGACTCGATCAAACCTCTAATGTACCTAAAAATAATACTTCGTCCCTAAGGGATCTTTACAGACGTGAGAACTCTTTCATTTGAAACCAACCGGCCAGAAATAATCAGAAAGTGTTGCCATTATTTGGCATATCTGGAATAGTTGCGTTTCGAAGCATGCATGTTTACAGCACGGTTAACAGATCGCCCGTCCTTGGCTGACTCCGCGCGCTCGAAGTGGCGTAACACTCCGACACCTATCGTCATTCTCTTTGTGGTGGCGCCCTGTGAAAATACCACCCTTTAAAGCGGGCAACAGCAACTCCACTGCGTTACTTCCACTCGATCAGAGTTCAATGGTGCCCCAACGAAAACAGTTTCCCTTTTGCCATGGTTACCACATAACAGTGGCAATTTCTCATGCGAGAGTTCGGCAAGTTTTACTCCACTTTTTATACTGTCACACTTTCCTATCAAAAGTGCTTAGAAGGTTGCACGTTGCCGAACATGCAACGACACTTAGGCATTTTAATCAAAGCAGTCATGCACAGTTTTCGTCTCTAGTCGCGTTGTGTCTGCGTGTTTTAGGCACAGCAGGCGATGGGCGGGGTGTCAGTACCCGATGTTTAAGTTCGAGCCTATACAATAGACACCTGCCATTCTTAAAAAACTGCCTGCTTGAGCTGAAAAAGCACATTTTGGGAAGTAAACAGCAGAAAACACCTACGAGGGGGGTGGCATGGTATTTATCATAGTTTTCGCAAAACCGTTTCCAACTATACATCCTCCGATGAATTGTTCAACTTTTAGGCCCTCTTCTCGAACCGTTATTAATTTAGAATCGGCTTTTAGAAATTTACCCCGTAATTTAAAGTAACTTTTAATATTTCTTCCCAACGTCAATCAATTGCTCGTGAATTGACCGCAAGCGTCCCAGTTCTGACAAAGGGCCCCAATCCTGAGTGGCCAGAAATACTTGCACCAACTTAAAAATAACTTTGATAAAGCTGGTTATCAATGACAAGAGACCAAGGTTGTCTCCACTGTCGTCTCTTCATACAGAAACTGACTGAGGCAAACACAAGCCCATGTACGGTTGTCATGTTGTTGACTGGAGGTTGTTCTGACAAGGACACTGAAGACAAATAAATTGTCAAAAGGCCAAAGATAACTTTCTCCCCCGCCAGTTGAAAAGCCCCGATTTTTCTTCTATTCAGATCGATGATAAAGGCAAGGGTCAGAAAGCAGGGAGGCTGTATTGACCTTTTTTCAGAGTTGTACTAGACGTAAAGAATAGGACATTAAGTGGTTTCAGATATGATTCTATAGTATCGAGCCGGGTACCAACAGTTACCAGTATTTTTGTATCGTGGGTGGTGTTTGAAAAAGCGACGGGTTATCATTTCCAGGATTGTTGACAATCTGCAGCATGGACAAAGGACAAAAACTGGAACTTCCGTGGCAATGACCAGACACATCGACACTCCAAAACTGCGCGAAAATTTCATTTGCTTTGAAATAGCGTTGACTGCATGATCTTGCTTTCTTGTCAATTGAGTAGCTTACCAAACGTTTCTGATTCGCTAATGCTGGTCCTCGTTTTTGCCATGAAGTTGCGAACTAGGAAAATTACACTATGTCTTAGCAAACTTTGCAAAGTCTCGAGATGGAGACTAAGGAGAGACCACTCACCAATAAGTTCACTGCGTAGGCTTATCCTGTCTGGCAGGTTTTCCGTTGCAAAAAGTACGCAGTTGATGAACGCCACCAACGCCGTCTGATATGATGTAACCTCCGACCTGTTGAGCTCCTCCAAGATCAGACTGAACCGAAACCTCTTTTTTTTCAGTTTCTGTGACGAAAAAAAAGACAATAAGTTCAGAAACGGAACCTAAAGTGGAACAGGAAAGAACATGCCTCTGTTAATTTGTTTCAGCGATTAATAAATAAGTAGAAGATATAGAAATGACAACAGGCAACAATTGAGTAAACGATTCAGATCACTTTTAACCAATTTTGTCAACTGACGAAGACACCATTCGTACTTTTTACCAGTAAAGGCAAGATAAACACAACAAGACATTTGAACATATTTTATTTGCGATCAGAAAGTTCTCGTTTCGATTTTGTCAGGTTTTCCCCCAATGTCTTGACAAATAGTGCTTAGTTTAAGAGGTTAAACCTCCAGGCTTTCGAGTGGGATTATCCTACCGCATTACTAGGTTCAGTGGAATCTGAGATCGTAGCCGCACATTGTTCCACGCACTCGAACTGAGGGCCTCCAAAGATAAGAACAAATAAACAGCCCGAGCGGTAGAAATTGAAAACACGTGGAAGCATGTGTAACCTTGGTTCACGCCAAGAAAGTACAGTCATGTAGAACTACCGTTCAGTAAGCAAAGACCTCCGTAGTTGGGTCAATTTAATGACAGTTCTAAAATCTAAAGTGAATTCTGAAGAAACAATATTATGCCTGTGCACTGTTATTTTAGATTACAAATAGAGTGTAATGCGTAGTCATTTTTATGAAGCTACCCAAGTCATGTGTGCGAACAGGCACGCCCCCACTATGACATAGAACATGAATAACGTCGGCTGACCCAAAGCAGTATCACGCATGTCTGCCATATACATGTATGTCGCACGTACGTACGTGTACAATCAAGTTGTGTTCCAGGCCTCTTTAAAGGATGTGGGGGTTGGGTAAACATGTCAGGCTTTTCCTGTCATTGTGGGTTGGTGTTCATGCCACTGTGATATTGACTACGCACCCATCCCTGGGCCCTGGATGTGACACCCAAGAGGACACGTCTAAATACCTCCCGTGGCACAGATACAGAATTGAGGGGTAAGATATAAACGCAGGAAAGGCTCTGTACTTGCTTTACGAAAACCGAGTGTTGGAAATTGTGAAGGATGTGAAGACCGCCCTCTTGTGAATAAAAGAACGATGAAGGCATTTTTGGGTGATCAAGAGCTCGGAACTCGAGTGAAAACTCGATCTTGTCGATTGGAGATATTTCACTCTGAAACGTATGGTCCCTAGTTTCCGACTGTGGGAGTGAATTTTCTCTCGAAAAGACCGAGTTGTCACTCTTTTGAATTTAGAGAGTACGAGTACACGTACTGAAAATAGACGTAGCTCCGGCTCTGGAACCCTGCTTGGGACACGGCATAATCCGGGCGCAGGGAGGTGGAATTTTAATATATTTTTGTTCTTTTTTTGGGGGGGACTAGGAATTTTCAAAACATGGCTTGCTCTGACATGCCGCGGGACGTAATTTGCTGCTCGACGAACTTTACTTTTGAGGCGACTGACCCCCCCCCCCATGTAGGTATCTCCCGCTGTGGAAACCAAGCGGAACAGCAGAGGTACATCCGTTAACTTAACCATAGCAAACTGGTTTTCTTGCTGCACCATCTGACTCCGACTCATACATTCAGTATTCTTTTCACCAATAATAAAAACAGATTGCCCAAAGTGGTTGGGACTGTGTGAAGTGACCATTTGCGGATAACAATCTGTACGACGAGCCGTTATTCCAGTCTCATTAGACACACTGGTTGGACTCATTAAATTCCAAAAGAAAGGGACGTATTGTGTTTCTACGGCTCCCGATCACAACCAACACCCCCGTCAATAATATTGATCCAAGTCTATTTGTCCAAAACTACAGAGATCGGTAGAATCCACTGCTAAGCCCCCACTCATTGGCCCTATTCTGTTTGTCCTGCAGAAGTTGTGGAGGCAATTGGACCTAATTGCCATCTGAGATTGAGTCCAAACTAAGGTAACAGTCTCTAGACGGAAGACCCCTCGATGCTGCCCTGCTTCTTTCACCCTTTTCGCTGGATCTCCTCAATCGGCTCCACTTGAGGTTCTTTTTTTCACATTCTAAGTCGGCTGTCCTTGTTTTTTTTTCTCACACGCTTCTCTGCTTGTTGGAACGGTCGGATAATTCGAGAGCCCCAGGGTATTTTCAGCATCCTTTGTGGAGGTGTTGACGATCGTTATGCGGGTATTAGTCCGTCATTATCTGCCGAAAACTCGGGTTTCATTGATGTGATGCTGTGACGTGAGGTAATATGCTATCTCGATCAAGAAGTATATCGTGGGGTATTAACTGCATTGAAGTCTTATTTTAAACTGTAATGTTATATTTCAAGTCAAACACGTGTACATTGAAGCCAGCTCACGAACGTGCACTATGAAAAAGCAGCTTCCACCAACAAAACAGTATTTTTTTATCAAGCACAAGGTGATTCACAATGGAGCCATTGTGAGAAGATAAAACCGAACAGACAAAACAAACACTAGGTCCTGATAAGAGCCCAATTTTGGCAGTGTCATCAATCTGATCATGTCACGTGATTAGGCTGTGCTTATTGTTGCATTGTGCATGTCGGGGATCATTTTTTCCCGCCAAACCCTGTGTCATCTACGTAATGTCTGTGACATGCCACTCATATTTCGAAGGTAACTCTTTTTGGGGCAAACCCCTGGAAAGAAATCGCTGAACAAAATGGTGGTTAATCCCCTGCTTATATTTCCTGATCCAGCTTTAACCCCAAGGGGGTGATATAGGGTCGCACTAGGCTTGCTTGGGAGGACTCTTACACCCCTCCAACTGACGTAAATATCAGTTAAAAAGAGTAAACATTATGACAAAGAACAACACTCAAAACGGCGCCGCTGACTGAGCAAAGTGTGTCACGGATTCACAAGGAATGCCACTAGGCCAACATAGCCCAGCCTCTGTGCATTGTCTGGTCATACCAATGTCTGGTCTAATTCAGTGTTTTCGTAGCAACTACCCGAATTTTTTTAGATTTTCGTACCCAACGTAGAATTTTAGGTCTTGAATAAAAAGTGAAAAACAAACAAACAAAAACCAACCACAAAGGGCAGACGACTTTTATTCCCAAGGCTCTTGCGACCTTAATGCATACCACCGTATTAAATACCAAGCACGGCTCATTCTGTCGGTGGCTACATCTAAAGCCAATCTACAACCTTCTTGGCAAACTCAAACGCTCAGAAATTGAAAACGTAACACTATGGGAAAGGGTTCGTGAGAAACATAAGTTTTTTGACTGACCATAAAGTGAACGACCAAGTCTACTTCTCAAGTTTCTATTTTGTTTCCCATCAAATAATTTAGATACACCGGAACAATAACATTAAAGCCGAGATCTCCACAGAAATACATGCTTTGACAAAGCAAGCCGTTCTCGCATAGCAGAAAAGGCAGATTTCAGATGGCTGAGTGAAGAAAGAAATGTGGTGTTATTGCAGCAACAGCACCATTCGTAAGTTAGGCATTAACTTGGCACAACCTTTTTTTTTTTAATTTATATCCTATTTGTCCCCAGTAATCCATCTCTACCAATCCATGGCCAACGGTTGTACCTCCCGCGGGCTGAATTCTTCAATGGTTCAAAACGGCAGTGTAAGTATTCAAAGGGGACTGAAAAGGAACGGGGAACGGCACAGGGTATCAAACTAGTTGAAGTGAAATAAATCACTTGTCCAATGCCAGAAAAAGATAATTGCGGGAAGCTGAAATTTGCTCCACGTTGCCTGCGCGTGTGATAAAGAAAGACAGGTTCCCACAAAGTGCTTAAAACCCGGCCCATGAGCCCTGAAAAAGACAGTACCCTTGGGAAAGCACTGAGACAGATTTCAGGCAGCCATTGGGGGTATTTTCCTCAAATAGTCTGCGGTTTCAGCGTTGGTGGCTATAAGCTAAGGATGTTGCTGTTGATAATCTCACTTCATTTTATTTTATACGTATCTGTCTTTGATTTATCTATTATTAATGAGCCTTATGTTGACAGAGAACGAACGTAACAGCTGGGCTTTTAATTGTCATTACAGGTGTTAATAGCACTTATTTTAACGATACCTTGCTGTTATCAAGAAAATTTAAACATAGGCATTAGATGCGACATGAAATGTCAACTAATTATTGTGGCGCATTGTCTGACACGGGGTTGCTCTACTTTTTACAGGCATTCCTGTGTCGACCTAGTATGTGGCGGTTGGACCTTTGTGAGAAAAGCCACTTTAGTGAATCTGAGCAACAGGAGTTTTGGGGTCAATATTTTGCAGATTAAAAAATAAATGTGGCATTCGTTAAGAGCAGCGTCATGCAGAATGGATCGTTAACTTGTAGAAGTTTGCAAGTTCCGAGTTCCTTATCATGCTTCCGTATAGATAGCTAAGAAAATATGCTTGGTGTGGCCAGGAATATCTGCAAAAATTGCATTACATGTGGTGCCAAAATAAGAGGTTTTCACCTCATTGGAAAAGTATTTCAACATCTGAAAAGAGCATACTGTGTTGGCCACAACCGATTCGTCAGCTTATGACACATATTATTTCACAATTTCCGTGTACTAAGCTTGCGATGAATTGATTTCCTTGTCCCCTATTACCATCACATACAATGGCTCCAAGTGCACCGTATTTCGCAAAGTCGCAGCGCTCTTGCAAAGAAAAAGTTTGCTCCACGAATATAAAACTAGGTTAGTCTTGGGGAGTATCGACACCAGTTGTCAATGTAGAGTTCCACAATTCGCATCGCATGTGCCACTAAGGAAATCCCTTCACACAAACCCTCTTGATCGGAGCAGTTTTCAAATGATTTAATTAGCGCTGCTGGGTTTTCTGGCATTATACACCCGGCACCTAAATCCTCTTAAAGTTAACACAGCTTCGTTTATGTAAAGGCCCACCTTGTATTCATCCCAAGTAGTCTGCTGCCAGACTTTCGCTTGGAAACTGAACAAAAAGGGCTTGTCACAGCACATTACCACAACACCAAGAAAGCCCAACACTGGGAGTTGGGA